ACAGTGCTAGATTTATTTTGAATGTTATCCATGAAACTTTGACATTTAGATTGAGAAATTACCAAAAGTTACGTACAATAATAATTATAAATAAAAATGTAATCCTCACGGACCAAATACTGTGAAATGAATAAAAAACCCGCTGGGGTAGCCAGCCTAATATAACAGTGTAGGCCTACAGTTGTTAACTTCCAAACTTTCCTGTTGTGAATTTGAAAACGGTATGGTAATATCAAAAACAAACTTTGGATGTAGCCAATTTGAATCTAAAGAGATCCCTAATATTCGTGTAGTAATGTTGTTTTACTGTATACAGTAGTGTCCCCGTCCCCTGAATAGAAGTACCTCTATTTTGGGGACACTAACCAAAAACATTAAAATTTTCCCCTTAATAGGGTTTTTGGCATGTATTCATGTAACGATGACATACATTCTGTATAATTTTATTTTTATTGACATAAGAGTCAGTTGGAGTAGAGTAAGAACTTATAGCAATAATTTGCAATGCAAATACAATTCATCTATAATATGAATTCAGCGGAAATGTAATTAAAACAATAGTTAAATATGTTCCCAATATTCTTTCATTATGCAATGTTAATTACTAAATATTCTATTTTTTTTATTGAGCTTTCTATAAATGATCAAATAATTTCATATGGTTTGAAATAGTATAAGGTGATTAATATATGTATGTGTAGCATCTCTACTATTTGTATTTAAACCGCAATATTTAATTTGTATGTAATCTTTTATAGTTCATTTATAAACCTTACTCTATGTATATTACTATATTCAGCGTAAAGGTCAACCAAGGACAACAACCTGTTTTCTTATGGTACCAGGAACTTCGATAATAATTAAGTCAGGAACGTACCATGGCTAACTTATCCCACTTTTATAAACCTAAAACAATGACATCATAATAATCATCCTTAATTCTATACAATGTGTATGTGAAATGTACAGAAAAGGTAAACAAAGACTGGTTTATTTACAAATAACAACACTCACATTAGAGCTTTCTATTAGATGGATATAGCATGAATAGAGTACTGTAATATGTTGATATTGATTAGAATCCTATATGAAATACACAAAAAACAAAGGAAAAAGAAATCCCAATTGTTAAGGGTCAAAATTGGTTTACGAAGTAACACGTGCAGTGTGTTAGAGTGTTGAAAATGTTGTGATACAATGAAAAAAAACACCCCTTAATAGGGGTTGTTTGCCCATTTGGCACACTTAGAAAGTGTCGCCGTCACCTAACTAGGGTTGGCTATAGTGTTAAAAGATATACTGCCCCTCGTTTCACGGAAAAGTGTCCACTTTATAGGGTTGACCTCTGAATAGGGTGTTCCAAAGGGAGGGGTTCTACTGTCTTCATAAAAATATACATCACTTTATATTAAGGTATATTAAGATTCTAATAAAAAAAAAATTAATAGGCTTAATAATGCGGATTAACAGTAATAGTAGTACACTGTAATAAAAAATTGTAATATTAATAATAATGATAATAATATTAAAATAAAAGTAGATATAATAATAATTAATAATAATAATAACATGATATAATATATAATTATATTATAAAATAATTGTGGTATCATTTAGGTAATTCTGTATCATTGAGTAATTATTGGAGTAATTTATCGGACTGTCCAGACTGTAGCCTTGCCCCATAGTTAGCTATTGGTGGCCGGATTCTCACTTATTATAAGTCCATGCTAAATAATGAAACAATGGGTTGAGGGGTAGTATTTTTGGTGACAGTTACTGTATGTAGGTCTAGGCTTAATCACTAATATTGATAACTTTTGCATTTTTTCAGAAGATGTTGGTCACTCAGTCTCAGCAGGTCTATCAGTAAAGTGATGTTTGTTTGAAGCCTTATTGTGACAGTTGCGGAAACAGAAAATTGCCTGACTTTCAAAGTTGAATAAAATGTTTTGTTTAGATTTTAAGTTTAGGGGCCTCCTGTACTGTAGGTTCTACTTATGAATCATACTCCAAATAGACACACTCTACTGTACTTACTACCATGATGGAGGTTATAACTAATAAAATATAATGTGATGTAATAGGCCTATAATGGATATCACTGTAACACCGTAATGTACTGTCTGCACAACATTTAATTTGAAGCTGTTTTGAAAACTAAACAAAAAATAAGAAACAGGATTGGAACTGATAATTCACTTTTGATAAAATAAAAAAACTGCTAGTCTATTATCTTAGCTACAGTACATTATGTATATCGTACTCTTATTTTAATATCTTTGATTTTGAAGGGAAATAACAGATTTTAAATTTGAGTAGGAATGTTTTATGTACTGTACATTTACTAATTCATTCTTTGCCTAAAAACACAGACAGCAAAATAACCTTCATTAAGACAATTTAAACAAAAGTAGCATTTTGCATATTTTAATTAACAGAAGACAATTTTCCCCTGCCCCTGATTTTTTTTTTGACTTTTGGACCTGTATAGTGTGAGTTTTCATTAACTTTTTTCGAAATGCCATTGAAGGACTATGAAATGCATTTTTAAAATGCCAACAACTATGAAATGCATATTTCGCTCAGCTCTGTTTTAAAGAATTTTTTTTTGTATCTTTCAGCAATTGTGGAACTCCGAAAAAATGTAATGCCAACAAGCCATTGTGATTCAATATTTCGAACTTGATTTGTTCAATTGCAGAATTCATACTATCTTAAATTTTAGTAAGATTTTAGAGAAGAAAATGCATGGTTATGGAGAGATGCTGCTTCAATACACAAAGAATGTTGGTTTATATGCATGCTTGATGCAAACGATTCTTGAATATGGTTCTATATTATAAACTCTAGTGATGCTTTAATATAATAGGCTTATAATTATCGACAAAAATGCTGATATAAACAGGACTGTAGGTGTAACAGTAAAGACTTAAGCCAAATAATATGTGAAGGGGTATGCAAGTCCCTACCCAATGAAGTACAGCTGATGTTTTTTAATTAAAGAAATTATGGTTTGTATATCTTAAACTCAGTGTATTTTGTAAGTCTACAGGAGTCAATTAAAGACATTGTTATTTTACAAGGAAGGAAGGAACAACGAACGAACGAACGAACGAACGAACGAAAACCCACTGAGTAAGAAAGAAAAAACTGCTCGGAAACAGAACCCAGTCAGCATGCTGCTGACTGGGTAACAATAACAAAGAAGGAAGGAAGGAAAGAAAGCCCACTGAGTAAGAAAGAGAAACTGCTCGGAAACAGAACCCAGTCAGCATGCTGCTGACTGGGTAACAATAACAACAACAATCAAAATAACTATAAAAATAACAATAAAAATAACAACAATAATACAAACAACAATAATAAAAACAACAATAATAATAACACCAATAATAACAATAAAAATAATTAAAAATAATAATAATAATAATAATAATTTATTGTTATTATTATTATTATTATTGTTATTGATATTGATATTGTTATTGTTATTGTTGTTGTTATTGTTATTATTATTATTATTATTATGTATTATTATTATTTATTATTATTATTTATTATTATTATTTATTATAATTTATTATTATTTAATATTATTGAATATTATTATTTATTATTATGTATTATTATTTATTTTTAATCACTAATTGTTAGATCAGATTATAAATAGTTACAAGGATCTTTTTTAGAATAGTTGTCTTCCATAACGAAACACTACTATCTTAGTCAATCGTTTTAGGTTTTTACCACTGCAAGATTGACAACCTTAAATTGCGTTGACCTCGCGGCCGCGTTCTTTAGCTTAATAGTAAAAAAATTCCAATATCACTCTCGCTCTTACAAATGCAGCCATGGGTCTCACTGACGACGAGTTGGTTTTCATGTTATTGTTTAGTATTATTTTCATGGTTTTTTTACTTTACAAAAAAATTGTTTTTGTATATTCAACATGACTTCTACGTTCTGTTTTACACCAGACATAGTAATTCTAGTCTATATTTCCATTGGTGATTGGTAGGCCTTAGGGCAGACAAAATATGGACACTCGGTCATTGTTAGTACTATAAAATACATGGTAGATGGATAAAAAATTGACCTAAATTATGTGCTAAATATTGTAGTCAAACTAACCCCAATTCTGGGTGAGATTATTTCAATCAAATTTTGGGTTTGTTTAGAGAGAATGTTTTGGGTTGTGCTGACCAAAATTATTATCAACTATTATACAGTGGCGGATCCAGGGGGGTTCAAGGGGTTCGTACGAACCCCCTTCTTTGAAGAAACGTAATAATTAATACTAATGGGCACTGGTTTACATAAGGCATGCTAACCTACCTGGGCATATGTGGCAGATCAGGCAAACTAGGCTTAGCCTTCAATTAAATAAATTTTATCAAACACTGTTTTTGGTTCGACGACTCGTAAAAATTTATGTACGAAAATGCGTTCTTCGGGCCTACCGATCCATGGAGGCAAGACTACGTATCCAACTACTCAATATTGTTGGAATATAATAATATATTGCCTATGTCTTTTATTTTTTTTCCTTCATGTATAGGCTTAAGAATGAGATAAAATTACCTGACCTTTTTCAAGAGAGGGAAACCTTGAATTTAAAAAGTCATTAAAAGATACCTCAGAAGCCGGGAAAGCTCATTTCCGGCCATATATTAATCAAAATTTTCCCGGGGGAGGACTCCCACCACCTTTGTTTTGTTTGGGTTATTTAAGATCTTTTTGAACCCCCTCTCCTTGAAACTCTGGATCCGCCCCTGTTATAATATACTTGCTTAATATATATATTTACATACATATGAAGGTTAATATCATTGGAAAAAACAGAACTAGTTTTCATTCGTGGTACGGTGTTCCGATACAGGAAACGATAGTTGTTGCACACACGTTACACGGAAGCAAATAAAGAAAGCTTATTTCTGGTCACCAACAAGAATCCCACCGATGCATGCAATGACACGGCACATTATCACCATATACACTATCCATGATAATACTGTACTGTACACAATTCCGGCGAACCTGCATAATATCTTGACGACCCATAGTTTTAATACAGGGTCGTAAATGTCAGAAATGAATATTTTACTTCGGACAACTCTGATTCTACAACTTGTCATCAAAGTTTCAACACAGTCGGCATGTGGAAACGACAGTTCGGTTGCTGTGTGTAGCTGCCTGATTGATGGCAGGACTTGGACTATTAATTGTACGGGACTTGGACTCCGTAATTTACCGGACGGAATTCCGGTAAATACTGCACACCTGTAAGCATTGACCAGTTTAATTTAACAGCCAAATGTCAGTTTCAAAACTTGTTTTATTAGACACATAATATATTTATAGACTCGAATGTTACACTTCAATTAATACTTTTTCATTCATTGCAATATTACGCTAGTTGTTCCTGTATATAAATAAAAAAAAACCAAAACATATATTTAAGCATAATCTATAAGCATTTATACTGCGCTATTTCAATTGTATTAGTAGAGCCGAGTGTCAAATTCAATATATTATATTATATACAGTTTGCCATCCAATTCGAGACCACCCATGGGACCTGAACATTTGGGGCGGTCTCGGGGTTGGTCTCCAATTAGAGGAGGCTATCATTGTGTTAAAAGGTTGAAGATAGTTTTTTTGGTCTTTGGAAAAGTGATCTCGAATTAGAGGGGTCTATAAAGTTCTTAACCGTTCTGAATCGACAGAACAAGTGGTTGTCATTGACTATTAGAGTAGTTGACAAGCTTCAACTGTGCAAAACAAAGGTAGGACCCTAGAGAAAAAAAAAATAAAAAAAAAAGGAAGGAAAGAAAACTAACCGTCTCAGACTTATCAAATGTTAGCTGACCTTATATTTCACTTTCATGTTCCTTGGTTTTGTTTTCTATTTTAGTATTAACTAACCGTCTAATTACTTAACTTCTCTTTCAGTTTCATTCTGTGCTTCCTTAACTTTCTGTGATTCTTATTTACCCATCTTTTCTTCCTTTCGTCTTCCTTTTCCTTTTAGTTTGCTTTTCTATCCTTTCCGCTTTTTTCTAATACCTCCTTATGCATTATTTCTTTAGCTTTAAATTACCTTTGTAATATTTCCTTATCTTTCTTCTTTTCCTTTGTTTCCTATGTATCCTTGATTTTTCTTGTATTTACTTTATTTCTTTTCTTTCCTTTTCATTTCTTATGCTTTTCTCATATATATTCATTTTATCTCATCTTATCGATTCTTTCGTATCCTGATTCTTTCTTTCTTGTCCTCTTCTTTCTTTTACCATTTCTTAGGTTGCCTTAAATAACCTTTCTTTTTCTTTCTAAAAATTCATTCATTTTTTTTCTTATATTTACTTTTCTTTTCTTTTCTTCCATTTTCTTTCTTTTAGTTTTAATTCTTTCTTTTCTTTTCTTTCATTCTTTCCCTGCTTTCTCTAATAACAACATACCATTATTTGTATATGTCTATTTATATGTGTATATATATCTTTATCTGTACATTTTATAAGCCTATATATAAGCCTATAGGTTAATTTATTTTAATTCATGTATTCCAGAATTTATATATACATATATACATATATATTTAAACTGATCGACTTTTCAGATATTTATATTAGGTCATATAGGCTGAGATTTAACCCAAGCAAAATTATCTGCACCACATTTTTTTTTTTTTGGTGAAACACCATTTAATGTTGCTCACTCGTGGCATTTATTTGACTCTGAGCTAACATGTTCTGATGAACTTGCGCACCTTGGCGTGAAAAACCACTGTGACCTTAAAGGCAAATATCATGTTAAAAAACGAATAAGCAAGTGTCAAAGAGCATTTTATGCTCTGAAATGGGTGGGGTTATGTAAAATGGTGTAACGTTGACGTGAAAAAAAATGGAACTCTATAATGGTTCCCATCTTAAGTTATGGTTTAGAATCTATTCATTTGAAAAGTCGGATATTCAGGAACTTGATGTGTTGCAGTCTAAATTATTCAATGCTGCCTTAGGGCTTCTAAAGTACTGCAGAAACACATTGTTGTTACATGCTCTTAATATACCCCACATTATTGAAGTGATAAAAAGTAAGCAAGTTAACCTACTATATCAGATTTTCGTCAGTAATTCTAAATCAAGTCGCTTTTATTCACATCTATTAAATAGTTCAAAAAAGACACTAAGAACACGTTAATTGAAAAGGTCTTAAACATTAGTAAATCATCCATCTGTTTTATTTTGTTTAATAATAAGTTTCGATCCTAATTGTGTAAACCTTTTAAATATGTTATTTGTAAGACTGATGGCCTCAGTGACAGTTTTTATTATTTTTAAATGAGATTGATGGTATTAATAATTTATTGAAACCATTTCAAATTATTTTTGTGTATTTTAATGTCACTTATTTTGTGCTCCCAATGGAGGTTATTAAAATTTTGAATTTTAATTAGAATATATGTATGTGTGTGTATGTGTATATGTGTTTATGTATAATATGTATATGTGCGTATGTGTGTATGTATGTAGGTATGTATGTATGTATGTATGTATGTATGTATCCAGAAACAGAAAGCGGAATGATGCGATGAAAATTTATTACTGAAATATAAAAGAAGGGAAATATGGTCAGATTCCTCTCCTGTTGCGTTTTAATTACTTTATTATCTGTTTATTTGTTTTTATTTATACCTAAATGGTTTATGCTTGGCTGTTGTTGTTCTTTTCTATTAATAGGCCTGTCAAATATCTCTATAAATAACCTGTATCCTTTTTATTCTAATATTATTCTGCCTAAATACAGCCTAGTTTATCATTTTTGGATGTACATATTGCAAAATGTATGGCTAAGGACCAAATAACATCCATCTATGACCTTATCAAATCGTCTGTTTTTAGTGTTAGAAGGTGAAGTCATATAATAATAGCATCTGTGTTACAACAAAATCCGGAAGACTAAGGCCACTCCGGTGTAAGACCAAGTGACGTAGAAAGTCTTTCATTTTCAAATCTATCCACATAGCCTATTATAATTTTAAAAGATAACATTTTAAAAGATAACGACTCTCAAATATGTTATATTAATCACGTTAAATATTTTATAAATATGAAATTACTTTTGCAGTTTTTTTTTTATCCATTTTTATTGTAAAAATTCTAAATTTTGAAATTGCATAAAGCATAATATTAATGTTATGTTCACCTGTTTAAATTATGACAATATAGTTTATCTTATCTTATTTTAGCTTATCTTGTCTCATCTTATCTGATATAATTGAAAGCAATAATGTGGACCATTGTATTATGCTCACTCTGCTCTTTAAGTTATATAATATAATTGATTTGGTTGGGAAATTTCAAAGTTGCATCATCAACCATGCAGAGCCGCCCTAAAGAATACATTATGAAACACAGTGCTTGTTCTACCAAAACAACACAAATGCATCTGAACCAGGAAAAGAAGCCCTGGATCAATCCTACACTGAGGTCATAAACAAGCTGCTGCTTGGGTTGTTCTGCATGAGGTACCGTATAACAAGAACCAAAGCTTCTGCAGTTATAATAATTAAAAGCAAACATCTGAAGAACGGCGCGTTACTAATAATGTCTGTTTCAAAACTTTTTCAACCTACTTGGCAATCCTAAATAAGATGTAAAACTTGATAAGATAGTATAAAACATATTCCAAGTATCGAAATTCACGCCATCGTGTCGAGATAATCCCGATACGTTGGCGTGCATTTCGATACTTGGAGAAGAATATATTATACATTCTTATCTGAGATTAATCCGTAGACCTTTCGGTTTATGTAAAATTTGATGATACATTTTTCCCCTGCAATGTCTCTGATAAACTTCCTATCAAGACTGGACCATTTACCATGAATGGACTAATACAAGCACTGAACAGGCTTAAATCCTTGAAAACTCCTTGCCCTGGTATATACCAGCCATCATTTTAAAGTGTACACTCTTTTACCTACCATTGCTCGACTTGTGCAATGGGAACATGAAATAAGCCAAAGGCTTTCTCCAGATCTGCAATTACACCTCTACCAAGGAAAGGTGTTCTTTCATTACCATCAAACTATAGTGGTATCACACTCACGGCGCTTTCTTCCAAGTTGTACAGAATGATGCTTCTCAACATGATTTTACCTCATAATGATTCAATCCTCATATGTAGCCAGAATGGTTTTCGCAATGGCAAATCAACTACATTACAAAATTATAGCCTTTAGAAGGATATAAGAAGAGCTGAAGATTTCTAGAGATAGCATAATAATTATAGCTGTAGTGTAAACCGGACAATCATAATGCTTATTCTACTTAACTATGGAATCCCTGAAGAAATTGGCAAATTAATTACCGTTATGTACAAAAAATCATTCTTGCTTTGTACAAACTTTGGATGGTCTAACCAAAGAGAGTAACCTTTTTCTCAGTACTGTATAATGAAAATTCCTTTAAAAATTCAAAAAATCCCATTCTAATTCCTGTTAGCAATAAATTAGTGGCAAATACATGTAGAATTTGTCATTAAATTTATAGAATACTATTGTTTTATATTATATTATTAAACCTAATTTGAAGCACCCCTTACTCCTGCCCACGATGGATTTGCTGGTTAGAAAACATAGTTATTGGAAGGAGGAATTATATAAATAGAAGGGTAAAAAGTATGGCCTAAATATCTAATATACTTAAAGCAAGCAACTAATTCTTTTGGTAGTATGTGAATTTCGTGTGTTGTAATATAGAAATTGTTATAGAAATGATTAGGTATATCAGCGAGGTTGTGAAGATTTCAGGTAAGGAAATAGAAGAACAAGGAAGAATAATGGAGCAAAAAGAATAAGAAATACATTAGAGGAAACAATTGAAAATTGCTTTTTAATATGTTTTCAAAATTATTGAAGACTTCGTCAGGGCCTTGTACGCTCTAGTCATGTGCTTGCTTTGCTCGTAATAATCCAACTTAACATAACCTTTCCTCCACTCGTCATCATCAACTCATGATCCTTTGATTGATTATTCTGAATTAACATTTCAAAATTGTTGTTTTGTCTTTTGTCTAAAGTTATGCCGAGAGAAACAATTTAACGGAGATAGACGATGACACGTTGCAACGACTGCCACACTTAACGGATATGTAAGTCGTCCAACTTTTAATCTGCATTTGTTTGGCCTAGATATAAACTCAAATTAAGTATTTGGGGACACTTTTGTTGATGCAGAAATCCCATTCTTATGGATTGTCTTACATTGATGACAATTATGAACATTTTTTTTTTTCATTTTAACGCAAAATTAGTTTCGTAATTATGAATAATGTTTAGTTCAACAATAAATCCAATATCTATCTATTTTCCCATTTTTAAAATAAATTTAGCATTATGATCACTAATGCGATAATATGACATGAATAATAACTTTATTACGACATGTGTGAAAAGAGATTATCATAATTAAGCTTTGCTTGCCGTGATTTTTCTTTTCTATTAATTTGTAACTTTTGTTTTATTTGTAACAGAAGTTGTGGAATAAAATGTATTGATTGATTAAAAATTAAATGTATTCTCATTAACAGACGTTTAAACTTTAACAAGCTGAGTACTTTACCTAAGTTTCCAAAAGGAATCAAATTCATGTATGTATTGCTATCTTGTGATGTTTTGTCTGCAAAATTGTATCGTAAATAGCATTATGATTTATCATATTACACTATTGTCATTGAACATAATTTAACTTTCACTGTAGGTTCTTAATGTTCAAATATTTTATTGGGTGTGCAAAAAGTCTCCGAAAACCCTTTTAAAGCTTTATATCTCCGCTAAAGCCATGTGCAATCTAAAACTAAAAACACATTTAGATAGATAAAATGTGTATACATAATAATATTGGTACCAAGCTTAACCTCCTTTGCAATGCCTTTATATAATAACACAATCTAAAATATTTGGTCTCATAACACGAAATACCATTAATGTATTTAATGTTTCGTTAAACCTGTGTATGCATGCGTAGACCTAAGGAAAGCCATTTGTGGCACAAGGTTGTTATTAGATATATTGTAATTGATGTACATTATATATGAAGGTGTTACATGAAAAAAAATCCTATCTTTCTCTCTTTAGCTCCCACTCTTCTTTTGGCTTTCTTATTTCTTTGCATAAGCTTAATTTATTTGGCCTACGAATAATGAAGGAGCTTTTGTTTGTAATTAATTTGGCAACTCTCCATACCCATTCCTATGTTGCCTATCTCTGTATGAAATTTCACCTGTTGGACAAATGTAATTTGCTGAATGGCACGTAGAATAATATGTTTCTTTTGACTACAACGAGTAACGTTGTTTGTATGACTTTCTAGCCTAGGCCCAGGCCGTATTTACGCTACAAAGCTATGCTCACTGTGTACAAAAATGTTCAAGCTTTCCATATGTTTCTTTAACTCCACTTCAAATTTAACGAGTCAAATTTTGTTTATTAGGCCTAACAGTTACCAAGGCTTTTTGATAGGTTAATGTACATTAAAATGTACAAATAAACAAGTTTGAGAAGTTTAAAAAACAGTCAACATATATTTGAGTGTAGGCATATTATTGAGAAAAGTAAATTTGCCACGTAGCGGCGGGTTTTGATGTTATACCCACTATACAATACTAGCTTTGATCACTAATTCGGTCTATTGAATGTTTGTTACCAAAATAATGTTACAAGCGTTTTCTATCAAAACATGCTTCAGTTGTACATTGCAAATGATTTTTATCCGGAAATGTAAAGCTTTCAAAAGGTTTCAAGACTTCTGGGACATGGATGAAAGTTCGTCCAGTAAAAGATATATTATTATAGTCTATAAGGTCAATCGATTTTTATTTCAATTCAGTAGCAATTAAAACGTATACTGACGTTTTGAAAATTACATAAAATGTTCCAGCATGAGAAGAAATAATGAACATTTTTTAAGGTATATTTTATTTTTTGGCTTTGCAGATCTGCTACAGACAACAACATTCAATCTATTGATGGTGCTTTTGAAGACTTAACTGAGCTTATTCGAGTGTTAGTTCCTTTAAATATTTTGGTTTAATATAATATTAAAATTGCTTTATTCTTAATGAAAATTATAATTCAACAGCTGTATTGTATTAGGCCTATTAGAGAGGATTACTTCAATTTATCTTTTACATAATATTCTCTGTCATGAAAAATTATGTTTTCGTAAATTAATTGATGTCTTGGAAACTGGTTATATTATTTTGATAATTAGAATTGTTTTGACTGCATTTATCTTGATTGCAACAAGACCATTGATAGCATACCGCATCATAAACTTCTTAAAATGAGTAAAATCCGTATTAGAGGCAGATTTTTAAGTTGGTTTCAAGAACTTCTTTCTGGTACAAAGCGTTAGTGTCAACGGATGAGTTGCGGACTGGGTGAATGTTCGTAGTGGGATTTTCTTCATGGTAGCGTTGTTGAATCTGTTCTATTTATTATGTTTTGAAATGGTTGTATTGTTCATTCATCTGTATGTATGTTTGTAGATGATACAAAATTTCATAGAGTAGTCAATACTGAGCCTGATGCTTTTACGACATTGATATAGCATGTGATTGATCCGGTAAGTGGAATAGGTGGAAATAAAAATAAGAATTGTTCCTGGATGCTTGTTTAATGCTGTAGAACGTGCAACTGATATTGGTGTCACTTTCGATTCTAGACTTGTTCTTAATGTTCATGTGATGGATGTTCCTAAGAGAGCAAGTTTAAAGGAGTTAGGCATGATTATTATTGCCGTAGGACTGTATTGGGGCTGCCTGGACAGTCCCGCTTCATTTTTCTTCATTTTTTATATTAAAGAAAAAATATGAACCCATTACATTACACATATACATGATTATATGTATACTATAACACTTTATTGCAATTTGAAATAAAAACGAAAACAACAATTTGAAGTTTAACGTTAAAAATACATAATAAAATATTAGTATAACATCTCAAACAATAAAAAAAAAAAAAAAAACCAAACGAACAAAGGGGTAAAGTGGAGGACAACTAACAACAATGGGCAGGGACACTTTAAAACAGATTAAAAAGCAATAGAAGCAAAATGATAAAACATTTACAACACAATGTATAGCAATTCGAACTTAAAACAAACAGGTATTAAAAGGTCAAGAGAAATATAAACAACAAAAATAGGCTCCAAGTGGGAGCCCGTGTGTACTGCCTTATACAGGAGTTTTTGTTTTTGAATTTAATCTTATGTTCTTCAATATGCAGATGTGTGTATTATTGTAGTGTATCTTGATTTTTCATAAAAATTTTCTTTCATATAAATATTCGTTATACTACTATAATATTACACTAAAAACACTAAAAAAAAAACTCTTGGAGTGAGTTACCGTGTTATGTCGTTGATCTCGAAAAGTACTGCCATGTTCTAGAGGGCGTCCTTTTAATTACGGTAAAAGGCGTTAGTGGCGAACGCGTGCTGCGTCTGTATAACGCATGTTCGAGTTTCGAACGCAATTTTATTCGAGTTCCGAACGCTATTCGATTTTCAATAGAGCTCCCCCTACCTCGTGGTAGTAGTACCCACCATTCCTCCACCGGATGCAATATTTTTTTTTCCTATATGAGAATTGGCAATGAAGGATTATTTTGTTGCAAAAACGTAGCCTAAGAATTCATATGCCCGGTCCTGGCAGAATCGCTACAATACTGTGTACCAAATCTCTGAGGGGTCACCGTCACTACCCCAATGCAGGACCCTATCTAGGTGACTCGAGTAAAGGGACGTGAAACACCTTTAATGGTAGCTGCCTGGTGCTTCACTAACAGGCCTATTTGCATTACTCGAAATTCATGAAACGCATATGAAACAATTGTTGTAGGTAATTTAATTGGAAGGTATGAAGCCAAATTATCTTATCACCGAACTTTTCTGGTCCCCTGGCTTCCATTCATGATGGACCACTTCGATCTCATTAATCCGGATGTAATTATCACTCTCGAATTGTTCCACTGCTTATTGTATGGCTGTTTTAAAGAAAAAAAAAATAAAACCTCCTCAGACGTCATTAAACCATTGGAAACTTATTCACTACACAAACTCAGACCCCCAACTAGATAAATGAAAAATATCAGTTAATAATACGTTTAATAGTACTCGTATGGTATATTTATGTGATTTCTAAATAAACAAACAGACTATTTATAAAATAGTAAAATAGTCACAGAGCCAGGTTATTTGACCTGCTGAGAATATTTCGGTGCTTTGCAGTGAAGTATATCTAAAACGTATTCATGAAATCATTCAAAATCGTGTACAAAATAGTTGAACAAACTTTAAAGTATGTCCCAACAGTACTTTTAGTGTAATTGTACTGTGGTACGAAGCTTACGTAAATGACCTAAATAAAGGAAATAGCCTTGAATTAATTAAAGACTACTAAACTGTTCCATGATTTGTTGGACAAAAATTGGTAAACAGTCATCTTGCCTCCTGGCGGTAAAGCGGATCAGATAATGTAGATTGCGGTTGAGTACAGAAGCTAGTCGTGGTTATTGAAACTTTAAAAAAGTTGACGCCAATAGAACAGTCATCGGCACTATTTTTAGTGATGTAGAACTAAAACGTATTAATGAAGTATGTTTACACAACATCATTGAAATTGTGTACAAAATATTTAAACAACTAATCAAACAATAACGTGCGTGCCGACATTACTATTGCTTTTGAAATATCTTTCAAAGGTAATTTTGTAGAGAATGGCACCAGAGTACTGATTATATTTAGTATATACCTGAATGAAGAAAATAACCTTGAATTCAAAAGATACAAAGCAGTTCATGTCTTGAAATTCATCAGAATATTGGGAATGCAATAATCAGTACTTGGATGCTTCAACTTTATAAAGGTATAACCAATTTCTCCGGGGTATCACTAATTAACCCCCGGGACTATCGACTTAAAAATATATAATTTCTACTCCTCAACCTATTTCCAGCAACCGTAGAAAACGTCATCGTAATTATAGCTCAATGATAACTGTATTGTTGCTATGGAGTTTCTTTGACTCCTGCTGTGATTTTTCTTTAATTTTTTCAGTACTTTTAAAGCCTTTTTTCTCAGAAGTATATAGACCAGTTTATAGAGAAAAAAATTCAAACTAGCTTAACTTACTTATAATTGTATTACAGCTGCAGGCTTATATAGATTAGGCCCCATAAAAAATATTTGTTTATCACCCTTTCAAAGAATATAAACTGATAAGAGAGGGAGGTGTTTTTTTTTGTAACATAATATTAAAGGTCAGGTTTTTATATTGTATTGTATTTATGCTCATTGTTATTGGAGTTCACGCTGTTGCGTGAAATAAAATAAATAAATGATTCAATAAAATAAAAATGGAATGTTAGATTACTAAGGTCAAAGATCAAAATAAGCATTTTCAGTATTCTCCAACAAAAGTTTTAGTTAAGGTAAATATAGAAGCATTTTCAGGCATTTAAGATCATAATTAAATCCCTACAATTTTAGAGAAGTAAACTGTACTAAATTTATAAAGTATATAATGAATATTTTAAGGTAATTAAGTCAGATGTACGATATATATCCCAGGGCTGGCGGAATGTTTTTCAAAGTGGGGGGAGGGGGGTGTAGAGCCCACAAATGTAAAAATCTACCACAAATGTAAAAATAACCACAAATGTCAAAACATTCTACCCGCAAATGTCAAAATAACCGAAAATGTAATAACATGTCAACCACAAATGTTAAAAATAACCACAAATGTAAAAAAAAAATTGCCCACAAATGTAAAAATCTGCTTAACCATAAATTTCCATTTTTACCTTAAATGTCATAACATGTCAACCGCATATGTAAACATTTTCCTAAGCACTTAAATCCTTAGGTTATTGAAAGACCCTAATTAACTGCTATAGTAGAGCAGCCTAAATGCACCAAGTTGCGCATTTTAGTAGAGCAGCTAAGGGCCAAGTTGTGCACTTTATTACCAAAGCATGAAACTTAGCACAAAATATCTTTAATATGTGTGAACTAAAAAAAAATAAATTGTGTGCCAAGTTTATGGACGCCATATTGAATTTGAAATGACTGCCTCTAAAAGACGGGATCCATATATTTTGGCAATGGAAAATCGTACAGACTTTGTTTTGGTCTCAAATTGTTGAGAACATACATATTGCTTTTTGTTCTAATGTAGCATTTTGTCCAAAAGTGATCGGAAATGGCATTTTTGACCGTTGTGCCTACATGAACCAGCATATCCATATCTCCAAAACTGTTAGTTTTGGCTTCAAAATGTTCAGAAGATACATGTTTCTATTTGCTCTAATGTAAAATTTTGCCCAAAAGTTGGCCACAGAGACCTAATTTGGGCCTGAAATGTTTCAGAACATACATGTTCCTATCATGCAACATGTTGTCCTAAAGTGACCGGAAATGAAGTTTATAAACTTTGACCTTAGGTACCCTGTAGGATATTTAAATCTCCATAACCGTTGGTCATAGATACATAAGTTTCAGCCTCAATTTGTTTGGAACATATATATCTATTTGCACTAATGCAACATTTTTTCTAAAACTGACCGGAAATGACATTTTGACCTTTGACACAAAGGACCCTACAGCATGTCTATATCGTACTCGCGCAAATAAGCGCCCCGTTTGAATAAGATTTTCTTTTTAGCAAGTCAATAATCCAATCAATCTTGGGACTATGGTTGTTGGCATGATTTGAGCTGTAGAGTGGAAACATACCGTATTGTTCTTCATTCAATATCAAAATAAGGATATTTCTCTTGGAGAGATGAGAGCTCTAATCCCTAGACAGATGAGAGCTCCGATCCCTAGACAGACAGTATATTTCCAACTTTAATCTTTTTTACATATTTGTTGTCTATGTTTAGTCCTACTCCTCTTTTTCTTTTTTTTCGACCTTAAGCACATTCTCATCTGAGTTTTCAAGAAAAATAAATTGATCCTGCCATTCTGCTAATCTCAATGCCGATGGCCAACAAGCTAACCACTACCCACGACTAATTGCATCTGCTATTTTGCTGTTATGTAAATATTCACGCATTCTTGTTATGAGCCATGTTCTCTGGACGATTATCTTTTCTAACCACCATTCGTAATGTCCTTATATAATCTTTTTTTCATTCAAAGAGTGCCTCTTGAATTTTTAATTATTAAAATAATTTCCCATAAGAACCCCTAGATTTCCATCTATTTCTATAAGCGCCTCCTCAATTTCCACTATGTTTTCATAAGCGCCCCGTTTGAATAAGCGCCCCTTAGAAAGTGCAAAAAAAAATTTTACGCGAGTACGGTACCTCTATAACCATTGGTCATGGACACCTAGTTTTGGCCTCAAGTTGTTCAAAATATGCATGTTGCTATTTAAGCTATTGCAATGTTTTGTCCAAAAAGAGATCAGAAATGACATTTTTGACCTTATTAATTATTAACGGTACATATACAGTGTTTAATAAGGACATGACGGAACTTCGTAGGCTACCCTGTAGCTTTTTAAGGAATAAAGTCCTATGAAAAAATTATTGTGTAACAAAATGCTTCCCACGGGAATCGAACCTGACAAGCCGAGCGTCCTACCACTAGACCACTAAGGCTTCGTGGTTGAACAGGTCCTAATACTTGTCGGGAACATTGTATTACACAATGCTATGCCTCAAGAGGGCGTTCGGCCAGATAAATCTGGAAATACGGCTAGAAATACTGTCGTATATTATATATGATATTGAAGGAAGTTAACACTGTTGAATAAATATAATATAAATCATCAAAGGTACATATACAGTGTTTAATAAGGACATGATGCGCAACTTGGTGCTTTAGGCTGCTCTACTATAGCAGTTAATTTTATATATTGTCTTTGAATATTGTAAGGATTTAAGTGCTAAGGAAAATGTTTACATTTGCGGTTGACATGTTATGACATTTGAGGTAAAAATGGAGATTTTTACATTTGTAGGTGAAATGTTACTACATTTGAAGTTAAGCAGATTTTTACATTTGTGGGCCATTTTTTTTAAATTTCTGGTTATTTTTACATTTGTGGTTGACATGTTATCACATTTGCGGTTATTTTGACATTTGCGGGTTGAATGTTTTGACTTTTGTGGTGATTTTTACATTTGTGGTAGATTTTTACATTTGTGGGCTCTACATGCCTTCTTACACTGTGTATTATTATGAATACATGTATTTCGAAATCTCTAAAAATAACCATTGTGTGTGGGGAAACAACACACTTGAAACGATAATGTTGATACTTACATTCAGTTAACCCCTGTACAACAAGTTTAAATTCCATACTTGATGACATCAAATTCTTTGTTTGATAATAACAGCCCATCATAGTAGTAGGATGGTGTGAGTGGAAATAGCTTATCTAGGAGACATGATGGCTTATCTTAGTAAATATTTCTTCTTTGAAATAAACAGCCTAATGAAGGTGGCAATTCTTGCAACTTAGTAAGCAATTAATGACCTCTAGGTTTCAAGCTTCTATTTATTAAAGAATGGCTCAACTTCGCACTACTCCGTGTTACAAGTGTTGCATGCCAGACTGAGTCATGTGACATAAAACAGCCAATCAGGCTGCTTAATTCTTTATTGGCAATTCTCGTATAGGAAAAAAAATATCGCCCACTGGACTTACTCTTTTCCGCCCTCTTTAATTACTATATTATGACATACTCAGAAACTACCAATTGTTTGGCTAACTATTATATTATTTACATTATTATTATTATTATTATTATTATTATTATTATTATTATTATTATTATTATTATTATTATTATTATTATTATTTTTAATATCATTATTATTATTATGGCTCCACATTATTTAGATTTTAAAATCAAAATATGTCAAAGGGCCCGTATTATTTAAATACCAAGTGATAAGTGCAGGGGCGAGTGGCCGAGCGGTAAGCCAGGGGAATCGCATATAGCCCTTTCGTAGACCCGCCGTGCCAAACCTGAGCCGCCGTGCCCAAAAATATGTAGTTTCTACGCATGCATTCGCCATCGAGATTGTGAAAAGAAACTCACTCTACGACGTGTATTTCCTCCATGAACAGAAAGTGTACTGATCACACTCCAATGAGTGTATTGATTTTTTCCCTTTCTACTATGACAAGGCAAATGCCAAATAATACATTTAAAAAAAAATTAAAACCTCAATGCACCACAAATGTGAAGTAAACATAAAGTCCTTTTGCTTTGCCAAGACAGTATCGAAATATGGCAGCGCGATTCCATTTCACGGGCCTACGCATCTTATTAATTGTAACAGCTTCATGAAAATATTTTCACGTCCTGCATATGGTGCAAATTGCTATGCTATTGATTGATCAATTCCCGTTTTGAAGCGATTAAGGACTTCTTTTAAGGAAACAGCTGCATCATGTCAGGAGTTCCTAAGATTGAATATTGTAATTGCATTTGCGTAAATATTACGATATATTTTAAATTATGCAAATCTCATAAAAACCAAAGAAAAATTATAAATACGTGTGAGTTTAATAAATAATAAAATGTGGCCTTCCATATAAAATAAACTACGCCCTTTAATCGGATCAATATATTTTAACAAGCGAAGCGACGGTACCCAAACGACCCGGTATAAAATTTTGTACATGAGAGGTATGAAAATAAGTTTGTACAGTATAACGTCCGGTATCGACTACCGCAATTTATCGCACTTATGCACCTAGCATTTGACCTTCAACTTCAGCTTCCCATTTTATTTACAAGCTAGATTACAATTAGTGAAACCTATAAAAAGTTTGTATAGTTATTATCGTAGCAGTCCCTTTGTATTAGAACAAAAGTACAGTGTATTAGTAAATGATTGTAATCCTTTTAATCGTCCGTTGTCACATTCTCATCCTTTGTGCTAATAATGCCTTCAACTTGGCAGAGACGTACGTCAACCAGCAAAAATAGGTTTGCATTTCAATATCTTATAGGCCTTCACCCTAAATTTGGTATCTTCTCATCTCAGCGAATATTACCTAAATCAAAACGGTTACGGAATTTTATCATAGGGCTGTGGACTCACCAATAAATAGGTCAAGTACAGAACAAATTAATTTTCCATCAGAATCTTTGGTTACATTGTTCCTAGACATACTTGTGAGATTAACGATGAAGTATTGTGAAAAGTAAGAAAAAGCGACCCGTAAATGTTCCTGCCCCGTTCGTTTGAAATTCCAGAGCTGTTACTATATTGTAACTGCAATTTATGCAACTCATTTTTGCACTCTATTAAGTTCTACGGAAATGTTGTATACGGATATTTCAAGACTTGGTTACTGAACTGCATCTATACTAACTTGAGATGTGGGAATAGGAGACAAAGACAAATAATTGATTTCATGAAGGTTTACTTTACTTTTTTTATAAAGACGTTTTTTCTGGAACTTCTCAATCGTCGTTGGTCTCTTTATTTAGGTAAGTAAATCCGGGCTGACGGTCAGCCTGACCCAACGGTACTTGGCTGACGAATTCAAAGCTGGCAGATGAAACAACCAAACTATTTTTTTGTAAGCCAATGGGACCCAGTGGGACACGCTTACTTACTAAACATGAGGCAATCAATAGCAATGAAATAATTTTGTATAAGCTATACACTATGTTTTTCTTTATATAGGTTAGGTGTTGGCTAGGTACACATACAAGTGCGATAAAAATACGGTACCCCAATATTGTACAAACTTTACTTTCACCTCACTTGGTTACCACCGTCGCTCCGCTTGTTAAAATAAAAAAAACATTACTGAGGGCGTAGTTTATTTTATATGGAAGGCCAAGTTTATTTTTTTTTAAACTCACACGTATTTATAGTTATTCTTCAGTTTTTTTTCGGAGATTTGTATGATTAAAAATATATCTTCATATTTACATATCTATACTGTATCAAAATTAATTGTGATCTGGTAATTATTATTAGCTAACGTATCGTTTAGCTAATAGGTTTTGTAGAAACGCAAATGGTGTATCGTTATTTTAGCATCTTGACGTCACTTGACGTAAACAGTCGTAAACCTATGTCTGTTACATGGAAACAATTTTTTTTTAATATATCTGTTTTTTTTAAATTTTTACCTAAAATTTAATCAATAACCAAACTATGAAGAAAATATTGTTATTTTTTATTCTATTTATTTATTTATTTATTTTTTTTTTTGTAGTTTTGCCATCTTTTTCAGAAATTGGTCGATATTTACAGAGGACCGCTCAATTTTATTTGAAAGAATGTTCTTGTGTTTTGACCTCTTTATCTAATTAAAAAACGAATTAACTGAAACATTAGCCCATTAAAATCATAAAAATCTCAAACAAAATATGCTCTTTGTTCCCTATGCACTAGAGCAGGTAAGTTAAAAACCGTTTCTAAAATTTCGGATTTCATTTTTTTTTTTAGGAATTTGGAAAACAATAGAATAAATGTCCTTAAGAACACAACATTTAAAGACACGACGCAACTTTCTGACTTGTAAGTATCCCAGTTAATAGTATACTGACACACACACACAACACCTGTCTCTTATACACATCTACAGTATCGAAATATGGCAGCGCGATTCCATTTCACGGGCCTACGCATCTTATTAATTGTAACAGCTTTCCGACAAGGGGTCCGACATGTCTGACGGAGGGGTCTAAACCAAGGGGCCGACGAAACCTCGGTTGACGACACGGAATTTAAACTCACCTTTAGAGTACACTGGGAGAGTTTTTATGGCTAAGTATGGTCCAAAGGTGCTTTTAAACAACAGTATTAGGGATTTGCAGTCAAAATAACGTTATTTGGATAGGCAAATTAATAATTTCTTTAAATTTTGATTCAACGACGACAGGGAGTCCAGGCCGGCTGACAGAGTGGAAAATTCCCCTGCCCCTCTACCACCTGCGCCACCACTGCTTCTATCAATCCCTTCCCTAACATGTAACTCATCAAACGTTATAATTATATCTCCTCACGTGTATTATCTGTGATCATGGCTCTTATATAGGCGAAACTGAGACTAAATTCAGATTCTGTTGAACAACCACAAACAGTCCGTCCGTAGTAAGAGCAAAGGGTTCCCTGTCGCCGACCACTTTAACTCTCCTGGCCACTGCATTGACAACATCCAATGTATTCATCTCTCGACCACAAAAGACGCTGAGAGCTCAAACTTATTATCCAATTCAATACTCAAATTTTAGGCTTTAATTGTGACAGGTATTCTGAGTGATTATACATTTTCACAAACTTGACTCATTTCCATATCACCGTCAAATCCTTTCTCCATCATCACTATTTTTGCGTACACCATGTTTCTTACTCAGATTTGTTTATATTGTTATTTAATTTTCACTTTTGTGCTAATGACTTCTGCATTTTACTTTTAAATCTAGGCCTATACAGTTAATTTCATTGTATACATTTTTAATGGTTAATAATAATAACAATAATAATATTATATATTAGGCCTATCTTATCCAATGTTTTTCTATTCTATTATATTTATCAATATTATGGGTATCTTTTACCCAATTCGATATTACAGTACATTGTTTTTCACACTTTAGATTAATTATCTTGTTCCCACCACATACCATTATCCCTGCGTCTCCATTATTGTATATCTAATTAAATTACCCTTTTTTATTTAATCAAGACTCTTCATTGTATATAATTATCTGATCTAGCAGGGGTCTAGCCAGCTATACTTAAGCCAGCCGTAGATAGAGAGAGTTTGGCCAACTCGGTTTCAGGGATTCTGTTGTACGCGCGTGTGATTGGGTGGATCGCAATCACATGACTTACACCGGCCATGTTGTCACCAAAACAAAACAAACTAACGCGATAGGATATATTAAAATCCCATAATTGAATTGTCCTCATGAACAGAATAATAAAAGAAAGTTTATGCAGCATCAGTGTTTTATAAAGTGTTATAAAGCTAAACGCGTACACGCTGTTTGGTGACAACATGGCGCCCATGCGCCAAGTTGGCCAAACTCTTTCTATCTACGGCTCTGACTTAATCGTGGTGGGACCGCCACGCTTGGGCAAAAAAAAACGAAATGATTGCAAAGATTGCACCACTCTTAAAATCTTAGCGCCACGCTAAAAAAAATATTTACTATGGATATTTTATTCAAAACGTTACAACAATTAAATACCGAAGTCTCGAGCCCAATGGGAACAGTAGGCCTAATTGTTTAATCGCATAATATCATCGTGAGGCACCGCCTTCAATGCAAGCCCAACTGCAGGTTCTCTTTGTACACCGTCAGTTCGTGCATGTAGGTCCCTGTGAAGTCAGTGAGGTCCCTGGTTGGCTAGTGGAGGGTGCGTTCAGTACCGTACAAGTGTGACGATTGCAATATTCAGTGAAATGTCCGTTTTCTTTATGAACGGTGATTTGTAAAGTAGTATTAAGGTTCAATAATATTAACTTATATAACCATTGGAATTTTTATATCATCGATACCCCCTTCACCTGTTAAATTGACTTGAGAGCTTGAATAGTCGACCTGAATATACAGATAATCTATCATACAATTGGTCATTTATAAATTTACCCTAGTCAATTGGACTTGAGCTTTCTCATACTATGAATCTATGATTGAAATTTCGAATTAGTAATTCGTTATTTCGAATTAGTAATCCGTTATTTCGGATTACTAATCCGAAATTTCGAATTAAGTAATTTGTTATTTCGAATTAGTAATTCGTTTTTTCGGATTACTAATCCGAAATAACGAATTACTAATTCGAAATTTCGGATTAGTAATTCGTTATTTCGGATTACTAATCCGAAATTTCGAATTAGTAATTCGTTATTTCGAGTTTGTAATTCGTTACTTCGGATTACTAATTCGTTATTTCGAGTTAGTAATTCGTTATTTCGAATTACTAACTCGAAATAACGAATTACTAATTCGAAATTTGGATTAGTAATTCGAAATAACGAATTACTAACTCGAAATAATGAATTACTCAGGAGCGAGGACGTAGGCCTAGAGAGAGAGAGTTGGGACGCGGTAACGTCTTGCCCTAGTTTTCACACGTTTCACTCGGTTTCACTGTTCAGTAATTTTGAAAGGAACACATGAATCATACTCATAACGTTCTTACTCATAACGTTCTTACAACTAAAAAGAACTAACATAATTGTCCATTTAATATTGGCATGTGTTTAATAATCTATTAATTATTTACCACAGTGAGAAAAGAAAGAAAAACAGTATTTACACAGGATCTCAATAAATAGCTATAAGTATGGTGATTATGTCTCGAAATTTCTAATTAGTAATTCGTTATTTCGGATTACTAACTCGAAATAACGATTTAGTAATTCGAAATTTCGGATTAGTAATCCGAAATAACGAATTACTAATCCGAAATTTCGAATTACTAATTCGTTATTTCGGATTAGTAATCCGAAATAACGAATTACTAATTCGGAATTTCGGATTAGTAATCCGAAATAACGAATTACTAATTCGAAATAACGAATTACTAATCCGAAATTTCGGATTACATTTTGATGATTTTATATACTTAAGTGGCACGGATAGGCTTTCGTAATTATCTGCAAAATCCTGGTTTTGAGAAAATGAACAAAACGCGTATGGCTTTAGCCAAAGAAAAAAACAGATGATATTCAATTCTTTCAAGTATTTTTTTAAAACTATATTATTAAAAAAAATTGTCATATACTTTCTATTGATTTTTTTAATTTTTTTTTTGGGGGGGGGGTCAAAATGCAGATAATGCCTTTTTCCGGATTATTTGTGCCTATAGATAGCAATTAATAATTTAACACTTGGGCATTATCTGCAATAATGTTTAAAAGTATCGATGAATTTTTAATTAGTGCATGAATATTGTAAGTGTATCGCTGTAATTTAAAATAAAAAACAATTTTTCTTAAAAATATATTCTAAATTTGATGAAAAAATAAAATTAGTATTTCGAAATGTTGAACAAATGTTTTGTATGTAAGGTATACAAAGTAAACCAATAAATAATAAAATAGATGAAGTGGGTTTTATATATTTTAATCCTGGTGGAGCTTAGGTGGGTTTGCTTCCGGCCGGGGGAGGGAATTTGGGGGCAGTGTTGAGGGTGGCTTCGGGTTGTATATGTAAGGTAAGTTTGGAGGTAAATTAAAAAGTCGTTATGTTTCTAATCTAATGCCACACCAAGCTGTTTCAATTATCTTCATAATCACTATCATCATCGTTATGGTCACTGGATAATAATGCTACTGAAATTATATTCCTAAATTCTCATGAATGTGACAGACACTAAAAACATATTTAGGGCAACCCTTTTATAAAATAATTCAAAATAATTATTTCAAATATGTAAACTTAAAAACAAAGGATTATAATATTTGTAAGTAACCAAATTAGGTATTATATGTTTCATCATCATTGAACGATAAATATAGACATTTATATAGCGCTTTTTGCCAATGGATACAAAGCTTCCTGTCTATGTGAGAAGTCAACCGTTCAATGCTGTATTGTAGCCTTTAGTGTAGTTAATGCCTTATTCCAAATTATTTGTAGTGGTATGTATAGATAATACCCATTTAATAAAACATATTTAGGCTTTCTAGTAAATTAAGGTGATAGATTATGCCCTCATGAATCATGTAAGGCAAAAACCTCAATTTGGAAAAAAATGTAGTTAATGCCTTTTTCCGAATCAGGGCAGTACAGCTAAAGCAGAAAATTCGAGTATCTCGATTCGCTCGAGTTACTGTAACCATACTTCGAGGTCCATCGGAAAAGTCGTGTTGCAACTTGCCAGAGTACACAAAGGGCGCACTTCAAATTCCTAAGAACTACATTTATGGAATGAACACGATGAGTCGTCCAAGCAGCATTAAATGCAGTAGGTTGGGGGGGGGGGGAGCGTTAGAACGTCTTTCTCTAAAATAAGCGATGCTTCGGAGCGTGCCTATATAAAAGCTTCTACAAGGAAGGCTGAATTTCATTGCAGCAGGGGTTGCCTGCTCCTGCGCTGATTACAAGCAGCAACACTTAGCATGTGGACCAAACGAGTAGGAAAAAGAACTGCGCTTTATAACCGCAAGGAAGAGGAGCATTATAAATGCACATACCAGTACCAGTACCAGTTAAAAGGAAACTGGCCTTAGAAAAACAGGAATTCGACCTTCAAGCAAGAGTGCAATGTCTGCAGCAGCATCAAAAGGAATTGTTAGAGATATAGACGAAATTAATGTGGAAGAGGAAAAGCTGGCCACATTAAATAAACTAGAAGAAGAGGACGAATTAAGTCACAGTCTGTCTGCATTACCAGTTAATGATAATCATGGTGCCGTAAGGAGTTGTTGGGAACCGGTGACGAAGATTCTCTTACTGACAACTCCATCGAAGATGACCAAGGGGTTGAAACAAACCGTACATACCCATGAGAAAGCCCTGTGGACCAATTAAAAAGGCATAAAATGCCAAAATAAGATTTACT